TCTTTTTCAATATATTATACAATATTTTTAAAAAGTTAGCGATTATTATACCCTTCGATAGAGCAAAGAGTTTCAGCTTTAAGAATCTATATTTTTTTTATTTCGATATAATGATTTTTGATGGAGTTATGAGCAGTTAGAATGCTTTTTTTTTCCTTAATCTGTGAATAACTCAGAAACAAAAAGTCATAGGAAGTTATTAAAAAGTAGTTATTAAAAAATGATTTTGTAGAGAACTTATTCAAACTTTCACCAAAGATATCAAAGAATTTTTTTTCAATTTTTTTGGGGCACGTGACAGACTTACGAAGTGAGAAGAAAATGTTTCATTTTTTTCAGCTGATAGTTTTCTGTGTATGTAACAATTATCAAACATAAATTCAGAAAATATAATCAGTTTTAGAAAGTAAAATTTTCAAGCTTTAAAATCCTTTTTTAAATTGAAATTTTGTTTTTTAATTTTTTAATGAAGTTAACGATTGCTCTTAACAGTAGTACAGAAAAACGTTATTTTAGCGTTCTTCATTTTGTCTCTCAGGAGCTGCTCGGTCCAGCAAACGAGAAAATGGATTAAAATGGATTGAAATTTTTTTTTATCCATTTCCGAATGCGTATTTTAAATTGGATTTAATTGGATTCAATTAGATTCAATTGGATGCAATTGGATTGAAAAATTGCATTTCCTAGTCAAAATTTTAAATTGAACAGTATTCGCAATATATGTGTTGTGTACAGAAAAAATTAATATTATTTTTAGATTGAAAGACATAGAAATATGCTCCATGCAATTCCTATAAATGAATAAAAATGCATTCAGGATTGAAAAGTATTCATTTTAACATTCGTGAATCAATTTCTGAAAATCTGAATCCATTTCAATTCATTTCAATCCATTCTCGTTTGCTGGGGGGGGGGAGGAGGGGGGAGGTCGCTCCGAATGAACCTAGCATACTTGTAGGATTCACATTATGTACAATATCCGTACATACGACGTTTGATCTTCATCGTAACAATGAATGTCAGATGTCGTATGTAGTGTGAATCTATATTTCAAGTACGCTGCTGGGTTCGGAGCAACCCCGAGAGACAAAACGAACAATACTTTTATTGGTTCATCAACCTAGGTTGGGTAGGGTAAGATACCTAACCTTAGTAGGGTAAAGATACGCAATACGTAGCGATTTACGTAGGTTTAAGACAGATTTTTCGAAGACTTACCAATGATCGGCCGATTGTTCAATTCTTCTTTAGTTTTCACGACTGTATAAACAAATATTGTAAATAGAAATACCCATAGAGAATTCATTATGAATTATATATAATAAAATTGTAGAGTTTTCTCTCTAGAAACACAGTGGAAAAAAAACAACGTATACACTCTCGCTATTAGTCAAAAAATATGTTGAATAACAGGCTATCAAAAAAAAATCAAATAGACAAATGCTTCGAAACACTTTTTATTAATTAATTAGTAAAATTCTTTCTTCCGATTAATCAATTACATATGTCGCAGTAAGTATTTTGCCAAGAATGTGTTCTGAGAAACGTTATCAAGGTAGCATTATGTAATAACGTTATGTAATAATATACATAGTGTTCATGTACGCTTATGAACGCTAATGTTATCAACGCTATTTATACAGCCAATTAGAATTTTATATTTACAAAAGCTGCGCGAGGCATGTACACTACAGTGTACATTTTTGCCATAATATATGTAATGTAACTTATAGCTTAGAGTTATGTAAGCATAATTTCTAAACGCATTCAAGCGCATATAATCGCTTTTTTAGAGCTTTGCTGTGCTACTTGGTCGTAATTAGTAATGGATAAAAAAAAATGGTAAATTGTTTTTAAAAACTATTGTTTAGTCAAGAAATGAATGAATTTTTTCCGATTAAATAAAAATAATTTTACTTTCCTGCGCACTTATTTTTGAAAAGAATTTTTACATATGTATGTATATGTATATTAATGCAAAATTTTTGATTTACAACGTACAGTAAAATGCGATGTCGGAAAATAGCTTCTCGGATCACATCCACTTTTGACGTTCTCTGTGCTATGATTTTATCAACAGGGTCATGGATGTAACCACGTAGTTGCCAAACCGAAAATGAATGCACTAGCGATAGTGTACGGGCGACTTTGACGGTAACAGCGAAAAAGCTGGTATGAGCTCTCTTTTAGAATTCTCTCGGAAACTAATATGTGATTCATTTCTGACATCAGAAAGTTATCAAAAAAGTTACTTGTAAGAGACTCCACACAATAAAAGAAACAGGAAACAAAGAACAGAGAATAAGAATTTCAACCTATCAGAAACTATATATTCCACAATACATGATTTCTGATAGGTTGAAATTCTTATTCTCTGTTCTCTGTTCTCTGTTCCTTTTATTGTGCAGAGCCCTTTATTCTCTATTCTCTGTTCCCTGTTCCTTTTATTGTGCGGAACCTCTAAGAGAGAGAACATAAAGGTCTTTTTTCTATAACCGCAAAATGTCCTTATACATAACTACCCTCTAAAGAAGTAGATGTAAATTACATAACAATATTTATTTTTTTTGCAGTGCTCCTAATGAAAATAAATCATTAAAATCTCTATTATAAGGAGATTTTAAAGTGAAACTCAAACTCCGACGAAGTCACCAGAGGTCGCGCCGCGCATCGACATATTTTTATATACTACCCATCAATATCTCCGCAACCTATGATTCACGTAGTCACATATTCCTGTCAATTTTCGTATAACAAATTCGCAATAATCACAATAAAAGGTCTAATTCTAAGAAACTCGACGTTATTTGTTCGTGTAAATTATGTGTCTGGAAACCACTATTTCATACGTACGAGTTGCAAAGCATTCATTTCAAGCAAATGTCACGACTTGGCAACTGAGACGCCATGTTTCACAAGAAATGATAAAAAATATATCAAGTTTGAAATTTTGGCTCATTCTAGGTATAGACTCCACTTCCCAGATACGTATTAATGCATATACTTTAATTTTGGAAAAGGATTTTTGAATTGGTGAAAGAGAAAAAAGTATTTGTTATACAAAAATTACATGATTTAATCGGTAAAATAGGAAGCTTTAAGATCTTAATTTGACAGATTTCAGTTATTTTAGCGATTTCAGCGGTTTATTTTAATTAGAAGCATTACAAAAAAATGAATATTGTTGTGTAATTGACATCCACTTCTTCAGAGAGCAATAGTGGTGCAGAGGAATATGCTCTCATGTCTTCTCTCAGGTTTTCGTTACACTTACAAATAATGAATTACTCATTTTTCCATTCTTTGCATTCGCATGTAATATTGGATCAATATTGATTTTCAATATTGATTACAGAACGCAAGACATCTTATACTTTAAATAGGAGCTAGTATTGATAATCAATTTATGCTAAAATTTATGCCAATATTGTAATCTATGATTTGTACTGGGTTACGTATTTTTACTTTAACAGTCTTTCTACGATGACTGACAAATTTTTTTACTGCTTACGTCTTATTGGTTTGCATTTTTGTATGCGGGAATGAGACTATAGAGAGGCATACAGTAACATGAAATATTATAAAGTTTCATGAAATATTACTTTGTCTATCGGCAACAAATGAAGTCTGGGATTTATTCAATTTTAGAAATAAAATTAAGGATAGAGAAATTATTGAGAATTCTCTTTAACAATTAGAGCAAGTAATTTTATAATCGGAAGAAATATCCTTTTCCTACGTGGAAAGATTATAATCGTGATGACATTGTACGATAATTCAAACGATGATGTAATCTCATTCCATTTTTCTCCCTCTCCGTCGCCTACATTCTCTAACCTCCTACTTCAAACCTACAGCATTTTTTTTGCGAGTTGCATGACGTCCGCTAATCGAACAAGAAGTACAAGAGAATATGCGATCTTTCCTTTTTCATCTCTTCTACACTCCCACTCACTCACTCACTTTCATTCTTCTTTTTCCTTACCTGTATGCTCACCTTCATTTTTTTTCTTTCCTTCTCTTTCAACATTTATATATATTTATATATTGCTCCATATCTGTTTTATCGACAATCTATCTGGTCATTTACGTACCGGTCGCAGCTGTTTCTTAGGTCTATTTATGTCGCATGCGCCTACATGCTCCAATATGCTCCAATAGTTCTTATTCACTCATCAAACGCGCTCATTAGAATATATATATGAGTACAAAGGCTTATTCTTTTTACTTCAATTTCTTACACAGTTCATTTTTTTCTCCAACGTGGAGAGAAAAGGAAAAAAGATGAACCTTGCAAGAACTTTATTTAGCTAAAACGAACAGACCTGAAACATGGTAGGAGCATATTGGAGCATGTTGGAGCATGTGATCAAATCTTTTCTCTCACATCCTTTTCGTTACCTTTTTTTATTCCACAAGTACTCTCAGTACGTTTCATTTGGGGCTTACACGCTCGCGACCATTATATTTGTCCTTATTTAATATTTGAAAAATGACACTATTACAAATGACACTATTACATAACAAGGATGAAATGATTCTATGAATGTTGTGAGTGTTAAGAACACACTCTGCATAGAACATACAATTCTCTTTCTCCTTCTTTCTTTATCCTTTTCCTTTCTTTTCCTTCAAAAGAGGCTCTCATGCAGAACTTCCTCCGCCTATCACTCCTACCAGTCTTCGATCGCCTCAAACTCTCTATGCTTTTTCTTCTTGAGATTTAAAATTGCAGCATGTCATCTCTCTCTCTCTCTCTCTCTCTCTTTCGCGCGATTGGCTATTCCATCTCCGTCCAATGCAGTCATTTCTCTCATTCGCTTTCTCCCTCGCACGCAGAGCGATCATTTATTTCTGTTTATAACTCAGCCGTTCTTTTCTTCTCTCTCACTCTCTTCTGCGCGCGCATCTCACGAGGAAGCACGAAGTTCCGCGAGCCGAAGCCGAACAAGCTATTCAGGTTCAGTGAGTGCAGTCGAGTTTTAGTCTCGAATCTCGCGTCGATTGTTACGGAATTGTTTCCGCGACGTGTTTTTTTGCCATCCGTTCTCCGTTCGATCTATGGAAACTCGTGGAACTAACAGGTGCAGTGAAGTGTCATAAATAAGAGAACAGAGCAGAAAACGGGAAACGAACTTTGAGGAATGAGGGATAAAGGATGGATGAAAAATACGCGACGCGGATGACTTTATTAAAATAATAGGTTGCTCCGATATTTATCAAATATTGCTATATCACAATACAGCAATACACCTAACACATTTATTTATTAAATAGCACTCGGATGAACAAATTGAATAAAAAAAAAAATAAAATGAGAAATCGTATATAATTTTTCTTGTATAATTGAGATTCTGACTGAGACGACTTTAAAATTCGAACGACTCGAAGGACATTCATCGTGCGCGCAGAGGATATCGTTTATTCGAAATCGTTGCGGCGTTCAAAGGGCGCCGCACACGCGTCGTCTGTATAAACTGATTCAGCTGATCGAGAGGAGTCTAATAAATAATTGACTGACTCGCGTCAAGTTTCCGAAAGAACGGCTAGAGTCGATTTTGATCGGGAAACTCGTCCGAGACAAGAGAGACGCGGGTAAATCGTGAAATTCTCAAGAAAGCGCGATAAAGAAACGGAAGAAAGAATAGTAATCCTTTTGGGATGTCGACGTACGGAAGGTGGACTCTGTGGCCGGCGAGGACGCGTTTTCGACACTTGACAAAATCATCGAAGATCCATTGCAGCTGAGATCACAGATGATCGATCGGACCGATTGATCGCGTTATCGCGCAGCTTTATTTGCTGATTCGACACTTTTCCGACACGTTCATTTCTAAAGTTGGCGAACGCGCGACAAAAAGAAAGGAATTTCGCTGTTAAGTTTCGCGACGCAGTGCGAGTAAGCCCAAATTATTTTCGGGAGATTTAGAAAAAATACAGCAGGTAAGAATCTTTATTATAACTACTATTTCTAGAAACTTAAAATTAAATTTTATCATTGAATTTGATAGCATTTCAAAATGTAGGATATCTTTTTAATTGTCAAATTTCTTGAAAATTATAAAAATAATATATAATATTGAGATAATTCCTTCCGGTATATAACAAAAAAACTTCTTATCGAGTATTATTCAGAGTATTATCACAGTTTAGAGTAAATAAATAACCAATAGAAACTTTGTACTGTTCACTACTATGAAAAAAATATTAGAAATCTGAAATACTTTTTTTTTATTAAAAAAAAGTTTTTTTGAAGCCTTTGCATTTTTACCATATATAGGAAAGAAATGTATAGCTTATAAAAAAATTACAAACAATTCTTAGAAATAAGTGAAATGATACAGTAACTTACAAAATGTGTTTATAAAGTTTTTATTATAGAATAAGAACGATAAATATATACACATACAAAGATAATAATTCTAATTTTTTACATAAATGTTATATAATATAAGGTACATGTTTCATGTAATGCATTTAATGCGCTGAATTCAGTTTGTATGTTTTGGGCATAAATTCCACTCGCTAAAAGTGCTGAATATCCCCAAACAGATGGGATGTACAAAACATTAAACTGAACAAAAAAATGCGAGAACTAATCACTTGTGTTTTACTATGTTCAATCTTTTACTATCTTTTTACACTTGCGTATCATCAAATAATCATTAAATTAATTTTTTGTTCTCTTTACTTATCTTATGTAATTATCTTATGTAAATTATGATACATGGCTGTGCTATTTATTATATTAATAAATATTAGTAAATCGATTCAATTAATAGCAGTTTTTAATATTAACAGTATTAATATTAACAGTAAAGATTGAAATTATAAGACATATAAAACAGAGTAGATGCATGTAATTATTTCCACTCTTTCTATTTTTTCTGATTTCTACAGCGTAGGCGAGGCGTAAATATTGGAGTTACCTTATATGAATTTAACAAATTATGATGCACTTTGTAATACGAATATTAGTTCGATGTCTATTGATGTGTTAGATACTCATATAATTATAAAAATGTACATTAAAAAAGTGAAAAAATTGATACGCTCCAATATTAAACTTTCGCAAAGTTTTAATTCGCTGATTTAGAAAATATTTTGATATCGTTTTCACTTTATTATGTTGATCTTACAAGTAGATCTCTTAGGTGTTACTTTAGAAAGTATTTTCTGATTGCATAATTTTATTAGGTTTAAATAAATATTAGACCTCAGTGTTCTCAATTGCAAAAAGATGGCGTTATTTCTTCACGTGAACAATTTCTCGCGATGGTTACGTTGGCGGATATTCAAGGCCGGCACTTGCAATGTTGCAATGATTTCTTCGCGATTCTCAATTAGTACAATACAATTAAAATACAAAATATAAAATAACATTCTCTATTCAATACAGTTAATATTAATTTCTAATTATTTAGGAAATAATTAGGATAAATTTTATCTTTCTATCAATTTATTAATTTAATTTCAAATCCGATGCACATTATAATATATATAATAATGCATATTTTACCAAATTTTGATACTACACACAATATTTTAAATCTTTTTTTCTCTTCAAACTTTTGTTGTAAATTGTCTGATCTAAAATCTAAAACTTATTCCTTCTATTTCACATTAAATTAATTTTATAAAATCAAATCGAAAAAGCCTAAAACAATTATTATTTGAATTGATCAACAATTTTGATAATATTTAGCATATTCTCTGACATAATAAAAGTAGTTTTGTGAAATTATTAATTATTAATTATTAATTATTAATTCTTATGTAAATTAATATTTGAAAAATCTATCATAATGAATTGATTACTAAATGAATAATATTAATTTTATAACCATTGTAAATGAATATTATGCAACGAGAACGAGCTCAAGGCTTTGCTTAGCTGTTCATCGCATTGTGGGCGGACGTTAACCAATATGCAAATATTAAGACTCAAGCCAATCCACCAATATTGTGACACCATGTCGGATGAATATTTCAAAATTATTATGAATATGGGGAGCAATCTCAGAATGGGCTGTGGTATACAACAAAATAATTGTATATTTGATTTATTTTCTAAATATCCACGATTTCTAGTGTTGAATTTTAAAATTTATAATCATTTTTCCGCAATTGTTGTGTAGAAAAATTTAATTCGTAGAATGATACAAGAAGAAAATATGCAGATTATCATCGTCATAGAGTCAATATTGAACTCTCCTTTGTTTTACACGCTTTGATATGCAGGCATCGAAGTCTCCGATGATTTTAACGCTTGGTACCATATTTCACTATAGATATCGATATTTAAACTATTCATACATTAATTAATCATTCATTTTTACTGATTTTTAATTGTATTATTATTTAATTATATAATTTATTCAATATTGTTATTTGAATTGTAATTATTATTAAGTAATATTTATTTGGTCCATTTCGAATTATAACGTTTATAAACAATAAGAATATTAAAATGTAAATATAAGGGTGAGGAAATATACTAGATTTATTTTCCATTTTTGTTCGAAACAAATATGCATATTTATGAAGCTATATCTTATCTATTGTTACAAAATTATAATTTTTTCTGTATAAGCTTTTTTTTTATAAGAAACTTTCTCGGAATCTGATTGGATATCCGGAAAATATCGGATATCCAACTCGAAGAAATTGTCTTCTTAGATATCTAGTCGGATACCGGATATCCGATATTACATTCTGTCCGGATATCCGATATCTGGTATCCGGTAATTTTACGATCCAGTGCATCCCTATAAATTATCATTATTTTCTTCGTAATTTTTTAATGAAGAGAAAAAAATTTGTGAGTGTGAAATTGTTCCCACGTAAATTATTCGGTAGATTATTCTTGAATTTTTCGATTAGTATTCTCTTCCGTATACGAATCGGCACTTTAAATCACCTGCGCGACAACCGTTTCCGCTCTCCCACCTGTTCTGTATTCGTTATTCAAATCATTCAACCGTGTTGATATACGACTATGAT